GAGAGGACAAGGATAGCCCAAGTTGTTATCAACGCTCCGTTCAGAAGCCTGCATCACTGATGGTATGGGGTTGCATGAGAGCTTGTGGCATGGGCAACTTGCATGTCTGGAAAGGCACCATTAATGTAGAGAACTATGTTCAGGTTCTAGAACAACATATGCTCCCATCTAGACGTCGTCTCTTTCAGGAAAGACCCTGCATTTTTCAACACGATAATGCCAGACCACATTCTGCAGCAATCACAACATCATGGCTACGTAGGAGAAGGATCCGGGTACTGAAATGGCCAGCCTGCAGTCCAGATCTTTCACCTATAGAGAACATTTGGCGCATCATAAAGAGGAAGGTGCGACAAAGAAGGCCCAAGACGATTGAACAGTTAGAGGCCTGTATTAGACATGAATGGGAGAGCATTCCTATTTCTAAACTTGAGAAACTGGTCTCCTCTGTCCCCAGACGTCTGTTGAGTGTTGTAAGAAGAAGGGGGGATGCCACACAGTGGTAAAAATGGACTTGTCCCAACTTTTTTTGGGATTTGTTGACACCATGAAATTTGGAAACAACAGATTTTTCTCTTAAAATGATACATTCTCAGTTTAAACTTTTGATCTGTGATTTGTGTTCTATTCTGAATAAAATATTATATGTTGGCACCTCCACATCATTGCATTCAGTTTTTATTCACAATTTGTTTATTGTCCCAACCTTTTTGGTTTCCGGTTTGTATATATATATATATATATATATATATACAATGCTGAAAGCCTAAGGCGGACCAAAGGGTTTTTGTGTGTGCTTGTGTGTTTGTCTTGTTAGCAACATGTCCCACGACCACTAGATGGTTTTGTATGAAACTTTTAGAAATTGATGATTAGATATACATTTATAAGCTGACTACTTTTGAAGTCAACCCAATTCACGATAGCTGCAACAGTCAACTGACATTATCAAAGACAAAAATGGGTATAACCAGTTTTATGCTAATGAGCTAAAGTTTGGTGAGCTAGTAGCTGAGGGTCAGCCCCAAGACTTACTCCCAAGCGCTACACATTGTGCAAACCTTTGCTTATAACTATGGCTTTAGTTGATGTGTTAGTGAAACTTTCTGAAAAATAACCATCCGGATTTATGTAATTTCACAGTTTGGTCCTTTCCATTCATTCACAAATCTAATAATAATTGTTTGAAACATTGCTACAAAAGGTGGACCCTTCATAGATTCTCTTATTGTAGATATTTACCAGAACCATCTTGAGAGGTCACCTGTAGACTAACAGTGTTCTTACACTCATCTTATATTCTTTGGCAAATTTTTGTTATGCATTAGTTTGGAAACTGTCACGACCTGCTACTGATGTGTTGAACTCACGTGCAGGAAGATGACAGCAGGCTCGAGATGAAAAGTTTAACATAAATGTATTTACAAAAAACAAATCAAAATGCTGACAGGGCGAGAGGCAGAACACAGCACCATTGGAGGACAAGCCGGAGACAAGTGACAAGACAAAGGAGCTGAATATATACAGGACAAACAACAGGCACCTGCAGTGATTAATAATGAAGACAGGTGAGACGAGGCCTGAACACAAGGAGGAGGAACACTTAGGGACAAATGAAAACATGAGGAAACATGTGAGAAAGACAGGACAAAACCCAGAACCCCTACAGAAACAGTCTAAAGCCCAAACTCTGAAAAACACATTTTTATTCTAAAGTATATGTCTTGCACTATTTTTCAGGTCAGCTTTTCTTCTGTTTTTATTGTTTAGACTTCAGAGTCACTGATGTTTAACACAGTATGATTTGATTTTGTATTTCATTGTTTCTCATTGTTTTTGTGTTATATTGTTTTTATTTTTGATGCATTTAATTATAATCTTGTTTTTTCTTTAATTGCTGCCTTGATCTGCTTGTTAAGCTCTTTGGTAATAGCTGCTGTTTTAAATGTGCTTTTTAAATAAATTTGACTTGATTGTCACCACTGCCTCGTCAGCCTTTACTGCTTCTGCCGTTAAAGGGCCTCGTTGACCAGTTTACTGTACCAGTTATCAAGACCATATCACAAAGCAAACTTTTAAAATGATTTCCATGAATGAGGACCAAAGAGGGTCTAAAATGCATTAAAAAAGCTAATGTAGCCTTAAAGGTCTTACAAGGCAGTGTGAAGTGGCATATATGTCAAGTAGTTTTCATCATTATCATCATCATCATCGTGGTATTTCTTACCTGCAGCTGTTCCATGTCTTGATAGAGCTTCTGTTTTATGATCTTAATTGGTTGTGTTAATCTTCAGCGTGTCCTTCTGCTTGGAGTCCGTCTCCAGTCTGGGCCTGGACTCCCCCACTTTATAGGCTGCTTTTTGCTGGGGACTGCTCAAACCTCTGGTCTGTCCAGACTGGTGGAGAAGTGGTGACGAGACTCCAGTTGGAGGGATTTTTATGGTGGCGGAGGTTAGGGATGATGACATGTTGGTCATCATAATAGTTTTTTAATTTTTTTTTATTGCCATTAGCATTTAACCTTGAGAGAATGGTTTTCTATTAACATAAAATGATGGGGGTGAGTCACTGATGGGATGGACTGTTGCTCTCCCTTCATGAACTGGAAATGTGTCTCAACAATGAGAACACGGACGAAGGCTTCTGCTTCACTCGTCACTGGTTTGTCCTTCTGTCAATGTCCATGTCTGAATGATCAATTTATGTTCTTTAGGTTTGGAAAAAAATATACTGACGTCACCAAAAGTGAGTTCTTGTAAGAAGAAACATTTTCTAAAGTTCACAGTCATAATGTAATCACTACTTGGTCTTTTTCTACGAAAAGTCAAATACAACCAATTCATGGATCCAAACACAAAGTTAGGAGATAAGTTCTGGTATTTATTGGTTAAAATGGAGAAAGAACTGGAAGAGGTGGAAATGAAGATGTTGAGGTCTCCTTAGGAGTGACAAGGCTGGAGAAGATTAGGAATGAGCTCATCAGAGGTACAGCACAGGTTGAACAACTGGTTGATAAAGTTAGAGAGACCAGACTGATATGGTTTTGGACATGTCCAGAGGAGGGACAGTGGTTTGGACATGTCCAGAGGAGGGACAGTGGGTATATTGGTAGAAGGATGTTAGAAATGCAGCTGCCTGGAAAAAGAGAAAGAGGAGATCTATGGATGTAGTTAGAGAGGACATGGAGGTAGATGGAGTGAGGACAGAGATCTAAAATCTAAAACTACCTTTAAAATTACCTTTTTAGAATAAATCTAAGGATGGTAGCCTCAATCAACTGATTTTAAAAATAAAAGCAAAACAAGCAAAACAACAACAAAAAAAGAGACAATTTAGCCCTAATCCTACAGTACTATGGTGTGGTCATAGCTGCGACTGTTCCTCAATGAATGTTCTGAGCACCGACAGATTACATGAGATTTCTGAAGAAGAAGAAGACACAGGACTTGTCATCACTTTATACAAGATCCAACAACATGTCAGGTCAACATGATCCTTGTGAACACGAGGAAACACCAGAGCATGTCATGTCAGTATGTCAGAGATATGAACGACACAGAAGACATACAACAGATTCAATTCAATTCAACCTTTATTTATACAGATAAATCACACTGAGCCTTGAAGACTCTTACAAGCAAGACCCGTTTAGATGAATTAGAAAAAAATCAAAGAAACATTTAGTATAATACACATATTACAGAAAAGAATTGAAAAGTAAAAGTATTCAAATTATTATGTTTTTTGTGCAGATAAACAAAGTTGGTAAATAGAACATAAGCATGACTTCACACACAAACATAAATACCAGTAGGTATTATCAGTTGATGGCAGGGTTTGTAAGTTACATTTCTCTGGGTACCAGCACACACTGGGGTTGAGGGAATCAAAGCAGCAAACAGGGCAGCAGGAAGGGCAACAACACAACAAGTTAACTTTACAATAACTACAAGCAAATCAGAAGCAAGAAGCATTATTAAACAAAAACTGAAGGAAAAGAGGCAGAAAGAATGGGATAAAGAAAACTAAGGAGGATGGTATTATAAGATACAAAGAAGAGTGGAAGAGATGAGAACAGCAAGAGAGATTATTAACAAGATTGAGATTTGGACTCACTGCACTTAACAGGACACCATTCAGTTCAATTCAATTCAGCTCAGTTTATTTATGTAGTGCCAAATTCCAACAGAAGCTGTCGCAGGGCACTGACTGTACTCAGAATATATAATAATGTATGTATGTATTCATATAAAAATGAATAATGTATTCGGAATACACTAATATGAAACAGGAAATTGTTAACCTTCTGGAGAGAGGGAAACAATACACGATGTACTGGTAATAATCTGTCAAAGATATGAGAGAAGATACACGATGAAGAAATTTACAAGGATTAAAGAAACATTTAGTGGATCAAATAGACTACAAAACGAAGTAAAAAGTAAAAATATTTAAATTTTAATTAGATTCTTCAGGAAAACAAAGTTGATTAATAAAATGTGATTATGGACATATTTACACATACCCAAGATGATTGTCATTCTGATTTCTTACCGTTAGGTGGCGGTAATGCTTATAAATATATGTTGTTTAACTAAGCGCAATAAAATCACAAGAAGAAGACAAAGAAAAAGAAACAAAAACAAACATAAACAGATTTAATAATTACTACCTGTGTAAAATAATTTAATATCAATGATCTGCGTTTGTCTGTGAACATAGGAACGACCGTTAAGTAATAAAATAAACCCGGAAGTCAGACGGAGTCTTCCGGTGTAGCATTAGCTCGTTGTTCAGTGGCTCATGTTTATATCTATGCAGGACAGGTCTGTCATTTCTCCGTCAGGTAGTTCTTGCTGTTGAACATCGTTTCTCTTAATGCTGATGTGAGGTTGAACAGAGTCTTCTTCAGGATCCGACTGGACCCATTCATCCTGAAAATGAGAACTGTTCTCATGGTTGCAGAGAAACCATCGTTGGCTCAGTCAATTGCCAAAATCCTCTCCAAAGGCAAGAAATACATTTATTTGAACTGATGATTGAAAACTGCTTTTGCTTAGAAAATATGTCTGTCAGCATATTAAGGTGGAATTGGCTTTTAATAGTCAATATCATTGTTATAATAAACGCGATTAAACTGTTATTATCTTGACTGGTGAAACTTGTCATGCCGTGGACAGATGGAAGTTTCTGTCCGTGAACTTCTGATCAGCGCTCATACGAACTTTCAACATCTGTCACATTGTGCTGTGTGATAAAATGCACATTATAGAGTGGCCTTTTATTGTGGTCAGCCTGAGGCACACCTGTGCAATAATCCTGTTGTTTCATCAGCATCTTGATCCTGTGAGGTGGACGGATGATCTCAACAGAGAAGAAGAGATCACTAACACACGTGTGAACAATGTTTGAGAGAAAAGACCTGTTGTTTACGTAGAAAAAGTCAGATCTTTGAGTTCAGCTCATAAAAAGTGGGAGCAAAAACAAAGTGTTGAATTGAAATATTTGTTCAGTATCTTTATATATTTTTATCAGTTGACGTGACTAAATGTATACGCTCTATTTCAATGTTTTCTTCAGTCTCAAATGGCAAAACGACAGAAAGCTGAAACCTAAACTTTGCTCCGTCCCAAATTTGTCATGTTCATATTGTTCCAACTTTAATGCATATATAACTTGATAACGCCCCTTTGGAAAAGGAGTCTTGTGTGACTTCTTTAATTCATCTTCATAATCTTCTGATAACTCTTATTGTTTACAAACTATATTTCCATACTTGTAATGGTAGAATCTTTTGATTCATCCATGACAATGGAAACACAATTCATTCATAGATTTGTAAATTACTATAAATGGACTTTGCTTTGATGCTCCCCGTTTTATTTTTTTTTAGGAAATTGTACAAGTCGTAAGGGACTGAATGGAGCCTGCTCAGTGCATGAATACTCGGGCAGTTTCCAAGGCCAAACTGTCTGCTTTAAGATGACTTCTGTCTGTGGACATGTGATGAGTCTGGATTTTACTGGTAGGTATCTGCGAATTGCATCGATGATGATGTGTAACAATAATTTAAATTCCTATAACTTTTGCCTGTGAGGCGCAGCGGTTTACGTGTTCTCCATGTGGGGTTTCTCCAGTTACTCTGGTTTCCTCCCACAGACCAAAGACAAGACCCATTACCCAGTTGTCACAAACTAAAATTTTTGATTTACTGGTGTTACACCATATTCTGTGACCACCGTATATTGTGACTGTCTATATTTCCATAATAGTCATGATATTAGTGGTCAGATGTTACTTTTTATTCATTGGAGGAAGGAGGCTGACTCTCTCCCTCCTCCATAAAATACAATGTAACATCTGACCACTAATATCATGATTATTATGGAAATATAGACGGTCACAGAATATAATGGCAATTATCAGATATGGTAAAGTATGGTGTAAAAATGCAACAGCGCCCCCTACAGTCACAATATATGGTGGTCACAGAATATGGTGTAACACCTGTTTATATATATTTTTTTTAGTTTGTAGATTTTATTATAAAACACATTGACCATTGTGTCGTAGTTTTGGTTTAAGTATATATTTTTCAGTGTCACAACTTGTTCCATATATACTCAGGACTATGTTGTCAAGATGAAGTGGTGTGTAGATGATGTTACCGTAGTTATTTATCATCTTAGAAAATGTGTGTAGTCCTCCTGTATGTGTGTTTGACACAGTATCACTTTGACTTTTATCTGTTTTTCCAACCACATCCACATACAAACACCAGAACGGAGTGTGTTTGACTCACTACAATCTAATAATTTATGTTATTTTTCTTTCTTTTTCTAGGGAAATACAACAACTGGGACAAGGTGGACCCTGCTGAGCTCTTCAGTAAAGCTCCAACAGAAAAGAAGGAGGCCAACCCGAAGCTCAACATGGTGAAGTTTCTCCAAGTAGGTTGACTGGTTTGAACAAGATTTTAGTGCGCTCTGTGTTTGATGATGTCGTCTTAGTTTCGGTCTGTGTTTCACACCATGTTTCTCATTGTCAGGTTGAATCCAGAGGCTGTGACTATGTGGTTCTATGGCTGGACTGCGATAAAGAAGGCGAGAACATCTGTTTCGAGGTAACTAAGGCTCATTACTGTATATACCGAACAATAAGAAATTTAGATTGTGGTTTATTTAACAATTACTATTATTTTAATGTAGCTTGAGATGACAGTCTTCTATGACACAGCAAGTAATAGGAACTTATAATTTGCTTTGGTAGTTCATTAATTATTTTAAAAATTTTCATGAATATTAGATGTTGATTATTTTTTAACTCCCAGGTTCTGGATGCCATCCAGCCAGTAATGAATAAAGGAATAGTCAAGGATCAGAGCGTGTTTCGTGCCAAATTCAGTTCTATAACGGACACGGACATCTGGAACGCTATGAACCACCTGGGAAAACCGAACCAGAACGAAGCGCTGTCGGTCGACGCTCGTCAGGAGCTGGACCTGCGCATCGGCTGTGCATTCACCCGGTAACACATCTGTCTCCAGCCACACAAACACAGCTGTGCTCAGCCTTCTTCTGGATGACCTCGGCTGAAGGTTTAGAAGAATCTGACTAATAATCATAGAATTACTGTTTTAATCATCATCGCACCTCGGCTGCAAGTGGGGCGGTTACATAAAAAAACCTATAATGCAGTCCAGCTCTGTTAAATTTCTTATTAATAGAACTTTAGAGTTTGACATAATATGTATTCATTATTCAACATCCCCCCCACCCTCCAACAAAACTATAGAGCAGGGGTCACCAACCTTTTTGAGACTGAGAGCTACTTCAGTGGAACTGAGTGACAAGAAGGGCTACCTGTCTGATACAAACATAAATGTGCACGACTCACCTTTAATAATAATACATTTAATACATGTGAATAGATGACTGCCTGATCACATCTGATCTGATCTGTGAAGACTCCACACAATGATTATCAATAAGGATTTAGCATGGCAAATATGATCAATTATTATTGATAATTAGTGATTAGAACTCTCAATCAAGAACTTGATTCATCAGTTTGGATCCCTTTTGGTTCTTCTGTGCAACTATAAATTGTTCCTAGCTGTGACTGAGAGTGTGGATGGTTGTTTGTCTCTTTGTCTGTCTCTGGGACAGACTGGAGACCTGTCCTGGCTGTCCCCTGCCTTCACCCAAAAGCAGCTGAGATTGGCTCCAGTCCTAAACAAGGGGGACATAATGGATGATTTACTACAGCAGAAAACTGATATTTAAACATAAATTACCATTTCTTTTATGTTAATCTCAATCAGTAACATTTGAAATTCAGTGTATTTTATAAATATTTTATTAACAGTTTTGTAGAAATGAACACATTTGTAACATTCATTCAAAATATGCCCTTTATTATTATTTAAAACTATTAACGACTTCTGTAAAATTTTTAAGAAAGTATTGTACTAACTGTTATGTTTGTAACATTTCAGAACTCTAACTTGTAGATACAAATTATCAGTAATGTAAAAAACGAACACATTTTTATTGAATCATGTGACATTAGTAATGGTCCTCAGATCTGCAGCATTTTTAACAAACCATCATATCTTTTACTCTTTTTAAAGACATTACTTTTCAAATATTTCATTGTTGTTTCTTTTAAGACCTCATCTGAAAATGCCTCATGAAAATCGTCTGCCATCGTCTCAAAGCTGCCTCTAACTCCGACCTTCTGTCTGTTGTGAGACACGGGGAGGTAGTTAGCATTAAAGCTAATGTGTTAGCTGGAGAAGTGTCGCTCATGTTGTTCTGCTGTCACCACTGCCCACTAATGAGACATAACACACTTGTCTTTCACACCTGTATAAAGACCTCTTCCTCCCAGTCACTGTGAACAAATGTTTTATTACGTTTTTCTGTAATTTTAACCCCTTGGAGGTAAAACTAGCTTGTAGTTGCGCCACTGCAGAGATGGCAGTTCATCTTTGCATGATCCTGAACTTTGACCCCTGACAAGATTGCTAAACTGTATATGTAAAACTATTTATTTTTAAAGTTTTAATTAATTATTTTCATTTCAAATCCACATAATTTCAAATGTTATTTCTTAAATTTAAAAACATAATTGACAAGTTTTCGGTGGTGCTCCTTGATGATAAGTGTTATTTTTAGAACATGCCCCGCGGGCACAGTGTTGGTGACCCCTGCTATAGAGTATAACATTCCTATAGTATTTTGATAGTTCTGCTGTTCTTAATGCCTTCTATAATCAACTTTAAAATGACTAAAACATCCATCCGTCCGTCCGTCCGTCCGTCCGTCCGTCCATCCATCCATCCATCCATCCATCCATCCATCCATCCATCCATCCATCCATCCATCATCCATCCATCCATCC